TTCCCAGAAGACTCAACAGCACTCCGGCAACATTTGTTTCAATCTGAAAATTCAATACCAGAACTGAAACAAACCTGAAGTACTGACCTGGTAGAACACAGCAGGCAAAATTTTCCAAACGTGTTTATTTCTATCTTGCTTTATTTTGGGTTTTCTATTCTGAGAAACTTCTTCTAAATTATACTGAAATTAAACCTAGCACTAGCAATAAAAAGCAGTATTAATATTAGCATCATTATCAAAAAAGATGCAAGTGACTCCATCTCAAAACTCTGGCTGAGCAAAAAAAAAAGTAAAAATTAGAAGTATAAATGTTAAATCCAAACAAGCTAAGAATCTCCATGAAGGAGAAGAAAAGACATTTTGAGTTTAAACTAGAAAATAAAAAATTTTAGACTCTGATAAATCATAGGAAAATGAAAAAACCCTCAGCCTTAGCATCAGTAGATTTACCAACAGTTTGCAGGCTACCGAAGCTGATTTTGAAGTAGTCATGTCCTGTTGTTGACAACATACAGAAGAATGGAAAGGAAAATGTTTACAGTTTCAGTGCTTGCACAAAAGAGGCAAGTCACACCCAAAAAAATTATACTATAATTACACAAACTGGAAAAAGATTTCTTATACCAAAAACCAGATTAGTTCTGCATTAACGGAACTATATATAAAAGGTGGCCACAGACTCACAAGCATGCCAAAAATAACCCAAGGTGTATCTAAATTTGATGCCTGCAAGTTCTTTGTAATTTTTAAGAAACAGGGATGTGAAAGCACTTAACTTACATTTTTAAGTGCTTTTCCCACCTCTTTATGCATATATGTTGGATTCCTTCCATTTCCAAATTTATTTTACACAGTGAGTCATACCTGTGATCCTTCCTCAGCCTCTGGACTGAGGAAGAGGGTTCTCAACTACTTATACAACGTTCACGTTCAAAGTAAAACAACTGTAAATCAGTATTCCCTTTATTGAAGCACTTCCTGGCCCCCAAAATGCAATAGATGACATTATTTATCACCAAGAGCACAAGTCCTCCAGTATTATTTGTAATTCTGTAATTTTCGAATAAAAGATACTGTCTTACCTAAATGGATCATGAAAATCCAGGTCAATATGAAGGCCATTTAGAAATAAACGTGCTTCTCCAGGTTGGATTCCAAGTATTTCATGAAGATGCTTAAAAATAAGAAGTACTGCTAACTTACTTAGGTATAAGTCAGCACTAAGACACACATACAGGAATATAAATATATAAAATTTTAAGTAATTCTACACAACAGACATCAAATCTCTTCAACAGAATTTCTTCTTTTAGCTGAATCTTGTTGGTAAAAATATTGACAACATACTTTTATTAGTGCTATTTAACACAGTTTCAATGCTTAATACAAATACAAATGAAAATCCCCCCAAAACAACCTACAATGTCCTTACCTGTAAAAGGTATAGACAAGAACACATTCTCAGTGTCTGTCAACAGAAGGCGAAAATATCCACAAATACAGAAATACAGCTCAATTTTTTGAAAAATTACCCCCAGTATATTCCTCCTGCATATCCATTCACTTCCTAACAGAGATCAAAGGGTGACTTTACATGTGTCTTTCAGACCTTCATTTGAAACTAGCTTCTCAACAGCTTAAAATTTTTCATAATTCCAAAAACGCGTACTTGCAATTGTTAGGGGGAGGTAGGAAAGACAGACTAGAAACACACAATCTCATTTAATAAAGGGGCCTTGGAAAAGATATAAATCAGAAAGAGATAGCATATCTTTGCTTTGCAAAGAAGAAAAAAAATCCACAATAAATGAATACAAGAGGAAGGAAGTGTTCAGAGAGTAAGGTATGCCTTATTTTATTTCGGAGAGCTGTGAGGCACCACACTGTTCAATCTATAGTGTCTGTAGCAGGATACGCAACAGAAATAACAGCAGCAGTTTATTCTAACTCACCCCATGAGAAGCAGTCAGATTTCCAGATCTGTCTTAATTCCCAACAGAGGAATGGAAAGTACCAAAAATAGGCAGGAGAAAAGCAAGCTGAGAAAAGATTTATTTTTTTTTCCCCCCATTTAGCTCCCACTTGCTGAACAAAAAGCATGCTTTGAACAAAAGTACACTCAGAACAAGCGACTCAGGCTGCATCTATTACTCCACTTATGAGCCTGTCACTGAACAAATGAGAGAGAAAAATGAGACAACATTGAAAGTTATATTACTCCTTTAAAGTAGTGTGGTTACTTTCACACAGCTAAATGTAAGTAAACTCAAAAGTTAACTGGCTTGTGGCATTTTAAGTGCAACCTCACATAAATGAGACAACAGTGCTCTTGAAGCTCCTTGTAATCCAACAGATTTGCATATTACTCATTACTCATTGAAAAGGTACCATATTCCTGAGTATATATAAACATTTTCACAACCCAAAGCAGAATGGAAATATGTAATGGCACTTAATATCTGAAAGACAGGGCTCTCCATGAAGGAAAAATGCAGCTGCGGTAAGCGTGAGCCTAACACAGAAAGAATTTTTATGGAAGTCCTAAACCTGTCCTTGACCTTGAAAAACAGCTTTTGAAATTGGTAAATTTACTTTATTCTAACAGTGTAACCTGAACTTTGCAGTGCTTTCCTTTCTTCTTTGTACGGAGATTTACAAAAAAGTAATAATTAGTTATGTTTGTTATGAAGTAACTAAATACATATCTTCAAACTCAGATATAATGTGAAGAATATGGTGGATTGGGGGGGACCGCATCCCACTAATGCTAAGAAATAACCAGAAAGACTTTTTTTTTTTAAATTGTCAGTCATTATCTTTCATGAAAATTTTAGTAGGCACCTAAAAACCAGATGTCAGTGGCCTTTCAAAAATGAAGAGCATAAATGTATGGCAGTAAGTTCCCTATGGTCAGATAAAGGAAAAGAGAGAGATAATTTAATTACTTTTCTAATTTATAAAACTCACTTTATTCCCAATCTTATACTTATCTAAATTACATAAATGTGGGTTTTTGTATGTTCCAAAACTTGGTACAGAAGAGGAAGGACTTCTATCTTCCTTATAACTAACTGCTGCTTTGGGTTACTCTGGCCCAAGTGCAGGACTTGATACTTATCTTTGTTAAACCTCATGCAGTCATTAAAACAAAAACTAGAAGTAGCGTCTTGTGTCTGACATTTACATTTTTCCTACCACAGCTTCACAGAGAATTACATGCTCTCCCAAGGTCTCACTCCAAACATGCCTTCTAAGCAGTCAAAATTCATAGATACCTGACAATGTCAAGTGCCCTTGCAACAGGTGAAATTTCTGATCATTTTAGCTACACAGAGTTTGACCCTGAGACACAAGCAAAATGGGCAGAAGGAACAACAGGCAGGCACACAGTGATGAGACTCCTCTATACCAGGCAGAGAAGCACCCAAAGTCCCAGACATATCTGAAATTTTTCTGTAGTTAGCCAATTCAACTTGGATTAGAGTTTCAATATTAGTGTTGTGTCACCAAGTATCGTGACCGCAGAAAAACTGCCCTTAATGCCACTGGACTGAAGGAGTGAACAATAAATACAAAGATGATTACAGTCTCAAGAAATCTTACCAGCATCCTTCAGGGCTCTTGTGCAGATCTTGTGAGATCAGCTAGAATAGGCTCTCTTGAAGCACTGAAAGCACTAGCATTTAGGATAAGAGATTTCTTACCGCTACTGAAAGCTTACTGGTCAATCCTAGAAGCTCAGATACTCATGTAAACAGAGATACTGAGAGACTGCAACTGGCTGATGTAGGCCATAAAAATCCTAATACTAACTAAAATGAATGCAAGAGCAATGACAAAATCATCAGCCTGAAATGGGATTCTAAAAGGTTTTCAAATCCTTCAGTAGGAAAAGAACTGAGCTGAATCAGAGCTGAGACTGATTATACAATTTTGATGCTAGGCACTTGATAGTTCAGAAGAGCATCCATTTTGCTTAACAGCTTTGATGGAAGGAGTATTCAGGCATCCAAGACTAGAATTCAATGCTGCTAATACTCATCTAGTATTTTCTTGCTAAACTATCAGCAAATTATTGCACTAGAAGTTGAGTTGTGTTTAATGAGATTTTATTTTTTATCTATATCAGTTCTTTGTGTATTTCTTGCTTATGTATTAATTCATTACATCTAAATCATCACACGTCTTTCAACTTTTAATACCTCTATTTCCTCCCATTGCATTTCCTATTTGACTTTCATTATCTTGAGAGGGAATCATCCAGTTACACACAGCATGAGATCATATCTCTCCTGCTGCTAGATGGATGTACTGCAGTTCAAGAACGTACACGTCAATTTATTGTGCTCTAGCAGCAGTGTTCAGGAAGTTTCCCTACTTTTATTCAACAAATTTTTAGCTCTTAGCTGTCTTAAGGCTTGTAGCATGGTATTTAAACCTAGTCTGATAGGTGTCTAAGACTCGGTTATAGTCAATGTATTTATACAGTCATAGAATCATAGGGCTGATTCAGCTGACCATCCACACAGATGCCTTATCCTGAAAAAAATGACATTTGGGTATCTTGGACTGGACCTGTGTGGCTATCTTGGATAGCCTGCGGCATCTCAAATGACATCAGGAATCCAGGTTTAGGCAACTCAGTCATGTCCCACAAAACAACCATTAACTGAGCTAAATTGTTTTCGATGTTCATTGACTACATCTTCATTACCATAACAGGAGTTTAGATACCAGATAAACGTGCCTAAATGCAGACATCTTAATTTCAAATCAAATCTTAGTTACTTTTACTAATCCTTATATTGAGAAATAATAGCCAAATTCCTGATATACCTTTACTTTTTCTGCATTTTGGGGTGGAGCAATAGTTTTTGATTAAACAGTTGTTTTTTATTTTTGTGTTAACAGAGCTGCAATTTGAGCAAGACATTGTAAAGACTTCATCAAGAAACCAGGAAAGTCCTGATACCAACACTCTTACTCTGGAGAAACTATGATCATCAGGGCTTAGTTTTGCTTTGTCCTGACTATAACCTTAAGAACAGAGATCTAGGAAAATGTGTGTCTCAGATGTATACAGAAAGCAATGAAGTGGGATGATTTGCTCCCTCAAGCAAAAGCTATGGCACTTCTCACTAGTGCAAGAACAAGAGGTTTGCATAATGTTGAGCCAACTCTACAATCCCTGTGAAAACGCAAGAATCAAACATGCACCCTGCACACAAGAAAGCTGAAGGGGTCAAGAAGGTGAACTGCTGGGATAATGAAACGTCTTCTCAATACACCAGTCCCACATGCAATCACCTATGGGCAAAAAAACCCTATACAATTGTTTGCATAACTGTTTACAAGGACGGAACACTTGAGCATGTCACTATAACATTCTTCTGCAGAAGCTGGCTGCCTATGGCTTCGCTGGATCAAAAAATTGGCTGGACGGCTGGGCCCAGAGAGTGGTGGTGAATGGAGTTAAATCCAGCTGGAGGCCGGTCACCAGTGGTGTTCTGCAGGGCTCAGTGTTGGGGCCTGTTCTCTTTAACATCTTTATCAATGATCCGGATGAAGGGATCCAGTGCACCCTCACAAGTTTGCAGATGACACTAAATTGGGAGGTAGTGTTGATCTGCCTGAGGGTCGGGAGGCTCTACAGGGGGACCTGAACAGGCTGGATCGATGGGCTGAGGCCAACTGTATGAAATTCAACAAGACCAAGTGGCAGGTCCTGCACTTGGGCCACAACAACCCCCGGCAGCGTTACAGGCTTGGGGAAGTGTGGCTGGAAAGCTGCACAGCAGAGAAGGACCTGGGGGCGCTGGTTGACAACCGATTGAACATGAGCCAGCAGTGTGCCCAAGCAGCTGAGAAAGACAACAGAATCCAAACAGTGTGGCCAGCAGGAGCAGGGGAGTGATTGTTCCCCTATACTCAGCACTGGTGAGGCCACACCTGGAGTACTGTGTCCAGTTTTGGGCCCCTCACTTCAAGAAGGACATTGAGGTGCTGGCGCGGGTTCAGAGAAGGGCAACAAAACTAGTGAAGGGTTTAGAGAACTTGTCCTATGAGGAGAGGCTGAGGGAGCTGGGACTGTTTAGCCTGGAGAAGAGGAGGCTCAGGGGGGACCTTATCGCTCTCTACAATTACCTGAAAAGAAGTTGTAGGGAGATGGGGGGCAGTCTCTTCTCCCACGTTATGAATGACAGGACGAGAGGGAATGGCCTCAAGTTGCGCCAGGGGAAATTTAGGTTAGATATCAGGAAGAATTTCTTTACAGAGAGGGTTGTGAAGTATTGGAACAGGCTGCCCAGGGAGGTGGTGGAGTCCCCATCCCTGGAGGTGTTTAAAAGCTGTGTGGATTTGGTGTTGAGCAACATGGTTTAGGGACCCTGACAGTGCAGGGTGAATGGTTGGACTCGATCTTGAAGGTCTCCTCCAACCAGATGATTCTATGATTCGGGCAGGAAACGCTCAAGCCTGGAAAGTCTTACACTAGTTTTGGATGATGGTGAGCTCTAACATATTTATGTGAAATTTATGCTACAATGGAGATGACAAGCTCTTTATGAGATGGCTGCATCAGTGCAACAGGGACATTGTTCGCTTTCACTGTTTTGGAAGGTGGAAGTAACTGGAAAGGCTTTCCCCTGGAGATATTAGTCTTGGCAAGATAAGACTATTCTGAATGGACACAAAGCAAAAAAATACATGTAAATGTTGCAAAAGTACAGGAGTGACGTTAAGAAATAAATCCCTTTCACTACAGTGGTTGGTTAGTCTTAATATCATACGAAAATACCTGTTCTGAAGATCAAGATTAAGGACAGCGCTACGGATGTCATTTCATGTGACCACTCCTAAAAGCAATGGTGGCTAACATTTGATTTTAACACTTGAGAGAAAAAGTTAAAACTCTGAACTGAGACAGAAAATACAACAGATGTCATGAACTCTACAAATGCAAAGTGGCATCTTAAAATACATCTCAGATCAGTCCAAAATCACATGAACAATGACTCCTCATGCAATATACATGAGATGCAGTGTACCAAGGATGAAAATAAATCCACAATCTACCACAGGTTATGTTCAAAATACCTTGTAGAATAGTTGCATGTGTGATTTTGAGAGCGTAGAAAGCTCAAAGCTAGCATCTGCTGACCATAATATAAGGTGCAGGCCTAGATTCAACACCAAAGCTCTAGAAAAATTGATACCTATTTTGCTCTCATAGCACAGAATTTATGACTTGAATACAACACTCCATAAAAATTGTTTGTCTTTGTCTCATTCTGTAAAATCAAAAGAGTGAAGGGAAAAAGCACAAAGAACAGCAGAAAGTGAAAAATTTGAACTCAGTATTTCAATCTTATTTATTTAGTAAAAGATGTTTAGAACAACTAGCTCTTTTTCTCTGATAGAAACCATGTGAAAGTTGCTACACTAATAAAAATCTTCAAAAGTAGTAGTATGATAGTAACTCAAATATCCACTTGAAGAAATCAAAACAAACCTTCTGATTTTCTTCTATTTCATTTCGTATTTTCTTGTCTACAGGCACTCTAGTCAGTGATCTGTAAAAATAAAATTTTGGTATCACTCAACCACTGTATCTAAAAAATGCATTAAATAATGTCAAATAAGTTATTTTAATACCATATCCAATGCACTGTAATTGAAGAATGCTGTAAGACTTAAAAAGAAGAGTAATGCGGTATCATAGATATCTTACTTTCAAAACAAATATTTTGTTCTGCGTTACTCCAGTAAACCCAGGTTTCAGATTTATTAGGTTTTGTTACTATTATGTAAATCTGTATGGGGCTTTAAGAAAAACTGGAGTCATCTTAAACCTGAAAGTTAATGAAACTAAGAACGATCCTACCAAGTCAACTTCAATATTTGCGGATAATAAAGCAATTATTTAATAATATAAATCCTCAACTCCCTTAAAAAAAAAAAACTGATTTAGATTAGATCTTGCTAGTAAACTTCACATTTTTCACAATACGTCAGAAATAACACATAAAATCGATTTATTTTAAACAAATAGTCAGGCTTTCAAGGTGATCAAAGAGACCACTTGTTAAGCGCAAACAATATGTGCTTTGTTTATAAATATTACATGATTCATCCCAGCTAAATACCCTTTTCCATTCACTGCCTCTAAATGCTCTGGCAGATTATTTTTGTCACTGTGAATCCCTTCACATCATAAAAGAACAATAGAAAATCAAGAAGGAGCTGTATTTATACCAACCCATACTTGGTGGGCTTTCCTTGGCTCAAAATGAGAAAGGTTTAACTCAAACTGTCAAAGACAACACTAAAAAACAGTCAACATGTTTCAAATATATTTTTATCAGTAGTCATTGGAGGATGAGCTTAATTTGCTTATTATTGTTCAACTAATTAAACTCATAAAACTTTTATTATCATACTGCTAGGCACTCTCTAAGCACATAAGCAATGTACTAAGTGTATTCAATGCTGAGTAAATACATCTTACACTCTACTACTTTCTATGTTCACTAGTTTTGAAATAAAAATTGTAGAATAGAAAGAAAGAAACTACAAATTTTTCTGTTGAAAAAGAAACATTGCTGGTTAAGATAAAAAAATAAAACAAACTTGTAAATACAAAGAAAAGAATATCTCAAGTCAAATTTAAATTTGGAAAAAAGGAGAAGGATTAGGAAAAAACACTATTAAGTCAGAAGTCTCAAAAGCTGAGCCCATAGGACACTGCTTCAAGGGTCCTTCTATCAGCAATAGACATCATTCAGGAATGCTACAGAACTTTACCCATTAAAAGAACATCTGTAACTAATGTGAATTATTACTAAGAATTTACTTAGCCAATGAGCTAACAGAAGGACTCCACAGCACGGTGCAAACTTCATGTGTGGCAGTATTAAATACAAATATTATTGTGACTTCATAGCAATAGTTTTAGACAGTCCTGAAGTAAGAAATATTTTAGAGATAAAAGCTCTGATTTTTATCTTGCTAAACTCAACACAAACACAAGTAGGGCCCTTAACTCTCAGAATCAATGCTTCATTCTGCATAGACAGGTGACAAAAACTGCACAGACAAAAAGAACAACCAAATCTTTCCAAATAGCTTAGAGTAGCAAGGCAGAAACATGTAAAATCACTGTGAAAATAATAGAAAGGCAGAAAGGAGAAGGCAAAGCTGGCCCAACGTTATCAAGCAAGTAAAATACTTATCAGCAAAAGGTAAGCTTTACTGATAGCTTTTTTTGGTATATAAGAAAGCAAAACATCAGAGAATCATTAACTAGCTCCTTGTCTATGCATGGCAGTTGATGATGCAGGATTCTATCAAGATTTTAAGGAGAAAGTGTGATGGTCAATCCCTGAAAAGCACACCCTGGGAATTTGAGGTAACAAGTGTAAAAGTACCTGTGAAAGATATTTGTTCATTTTGAGTTCAGTCATTTGTTCAATTTGTTAAAAGCTTCACAAAGTTTTATGCATCGGTTTTGTAAATATTCAGTGCTAAGGACTCACCAAACAGAAACACCTTGCTGTCTGAAAGTAAATGGATATTAATTATCACTCTACATGATGTAGGAACGTACTATCATGACGTTAATGTTGTAATATTTTTGATCATATAATTTCATGCATCTTTACTCTTACCTGAAAGAACATGTAGCTATATAGCACTTCGTATCAGGGGAAAAAAGGAAACTTTTCACATGTTCGTAACGTTAACATTCATGAATAATTAATAGATAGCAAGAAACACAGTTTTATAATTCTTATTATTGTATTCTTAAATAACAGATATTTATGACATGTATAAAATATATTAAAGATGAAAAATATCCTAGAAAATGAGTTATCAAAATGTCGCCATGACATATATCAGTTCTTACACTGTCTACACTTGCTGACATTTTGTACAATCTACTTCAGACTAACCTTTTCAACTGGAAATACCAAGACACAAAAATGCAGGTTATAAACTAGAAAGTGAAAGAAACTTCCAGAGGAATGGTATATTAATTTTTTATGGTCTAAGGAATCCTTCTATTTTTAAGGAACATAAAATATTTAATTTTTATTTTCATAACCATAGTTCCAAAATTTGTATACAGCCTTTTCAAACCAAAATCTGCATAACTAAAAAATGGTTTTCATATCTAAACTGTGTGAAATTCAACAATTTTAAAAGACTACTGTTATAATGATCACTTATCTAGCTAAAGTGATTAAGCAATATCTTTTAATTCCCTGTTTATTCTAGTTTTTTTTTTTTCCAAACTAGTATTTTTGACTCAGGAGGCTGTGATTAGGTTATTAAGGAAATATATTTTGTGCACTGTTTTTACACAATGCCCCTTTGATTTAAGCTTGTTGTCAATGTAGATTTACTAACTTTAAATAATTTAAATATTTGCAGTCTCTTATGTTAACAATAACATGCTAGATTAGCATATTAGAATAAATCATACACAATAGGAGCTGCGGTTCCCCTTTTAATAATTCTAAATTCTTGTTACACTTTTACCCATAAAAATAAAATGTTTGAAGAGCAAGTAAATTGTGCTTTAATGCCACAAATACATAGCAGGAGTCGGAGTAGAATGTAACAATTTAATGACTTTTTAAATCAATGATTTAAATGTCACCTAGAGTACTTCAAACTGACTTTTTTTCCTGTCCTTTAAAGAACAGGAAAAAAGAACTGGCCTTGCAGTTCAACAAGAAGGTAATACATTTCTGATACCTTCTAATGAAAAGTTGCATTTTATGATTGCTAATTTAAGTGTAAACTTGTACCTTGGTATTTCATAATAATTATGTTTCAGGCATTTTGAAAGTTATTTTTCTTCCTTGAAACAAGATTTTACAGAGCTAGTTTTAACATTACAGTGCAGATTTTCTCTAACAGAATACCAGAGATGACAATGAAACATTATGTGGGAATTAAACAAGAGTTGTAAAATGTAAAAACACATTGAGTTAATAACCCTATTTAGCATCATATTTAATTCAGTAATTCAAGCAAATACTTCTGATAAGATTACATGAAGAACTTACTAAATATAAAGAAAAGCATTTCTCAACTGAAATACAACTGGCTTACAGGAAATGAAATTTTTAATGTTAGTACAGAGGAAAAAGTTATTCATTTATTTAATATTTACCTTGATCTTTTGTTAAGTAATTTGTTATGGGAGACAGATCTCCCCCAGTACGAACAGTAATACACAGTAGCTGAGGCCCCATCTTATCAGCAATGTTGTGCTTAGAACTAATGTGGATGTGTCATGGTTTGATGTGTGTGGGAGGTTCTGGTTGCAGAAGCTGCCCATTAGACTGGACTCCCATCCCCCTCAGGGCTTGAGCCAATCGGCGTCTCTGCGAATTGCCCTATTGGAAGGAAAGGTGTGCCTTTGCCCAGGAGTGAGGAGAGAAGGGAGGGGGGCACCGCCTCCGCTCCCCGGCGCCCGGCTGAGCGGTGGCCCGGGCCGGGCCAGTGCCACCTGCTGAAGATGGCGGAGTCGCTTGGGGGACTCGGGGAGAGCTCCGTTCCTCGGGTGCCCACCGGGCCGAGTTCACCCAGAGAGGACTGAGATCTGAGAGAAACGGCCACACAGATCATTCAGGTCAGTGAAGATGGAACAGGACAAGGTGTGCCCGAGTTGAGTTTCCCCCTGCAACTGGTGGCGAGACGGCAGGCGGCCTCCCTGCAGCCATGGCGGTCCCGGGGGAGTAGAGACCCACTCGCAACCTGTGGAAAACCCATGTCAAAGAAGCGATGCCTAAGCCTGAGTACGGTACGCATCTAGAGTCCATGGGACAACCCACGTCAGAGAAGAGATGCCTGAGCCTGAGACAGTTGTGAAGCATGGGCACAGGTAGAGACGCATTTACGCATTTGAAGTCTCTGTGACGACCCACGCTAGAGCGAGCGGCAACAACTCCCTAAGAATCCGAGACTGCGGTAAAGCCCGCACCGGAGCAATCTGTTGGGGAAGGATTGCATCCTGCAGGTAGGACTCACGCTGGAGAAGTTTGTGGATTTTCCTTGTGAGTAGGGGACCACGGGAAAATGGTGTAAGGACTCCTTCTCCTTTAAGAGAGGAGCGGCAGTAACAACATGGAATGAACTGACCTGCACTCCCCCATTCCCTGCCCCCCTGTGCCGCGGGGGGGAGGAGGTAGAGCCGGGAAGAAAAGGCAAAGGGGGGTGGAGAGGTGTTGATTTTACTATCTGGCCTTGTTTTCTTCTTATCCTTTTAAGTAACTGGTTTTGCTTGTCTTTATTCTTTTAAGTAGCTGTTAATAAACTGGTTTGCTTTAAGAAATCTGAGTCTGTTTTGCCCAGGACCATGGTTGGTGGGTGCTCCCTCTGTTCTTGTCTCACTTGTCTCGACCCTCAGTTCTTTTATTTTTCTCCTCTCCACTTTACTGGAGTGAGAGACCAGCTGCGTGGGGTTTAGTTGCCAGATCGGCCTAAAACCATGACAGGATGGAATCCCTTCAAAATTAATAACATTTTGTCTCTTCCTACTGCAAGTAGTTCTGATATTAATTCAACAGAATTTTGCACCCAGGAAAATATAATTCCAGCAGAAGCTTGGATGACTAGGTGTAAGTGCCTGAAGTAGTAGGACACCTTCATGGCATCTCCTGCATCAAACAGGAAACATGTAAGAGACCAATCATGAGCTCTCCCAAGAGTTATTTTCTCCTCAATGAAAACCTGGGATCCATCCAGCAAACTGTAAAACATGAACATGTTTTACATGCAGAATTTGGATATGAATCTGTATTACTGACATTAAATTCAAATGTGAATATAAAAACAGAAATTGAAAAACAAGCTTAAGTATCATACCTGGCTCTTATTGGGAAGTTCTGAGCTATGTCTTTCATTTCCTTTAAGGCACCATAAACAGGGGTAGACATAATTCGAGCAGCTGCTTGAAAACTAAGATCTGGAAAAAAACCACAACAAAATCACTGGAAATATCACTCTCAATCAATACTGCCTAAAATCAGAAAACTGTTCCATATACACTCACTATTAACATTTTTTGTGTTTCAATTATATATTATAAAAAATTATGAAGTAACATTATTAAGGCTGAAAAGATGGGCACTTAAAAGTTAGAAATAACAAATTCAGGTTTTCCTACAAAATTTTGTTGGGTTGTCTTGAGCATACGCTTTGTACATGTAATTTCTAAGTTTGTAAAAACACATTGAAAAAAAACCCAGACAATTCATCACGCGGTATTACGCCAGTATCACAAGGGTATCATATACAAACCTAGATAAGCACCGACCCACAGACACTCATAACTGCCGTAAAGAGTAAGAGCTTTCCAGCTCCAGGAATTCATAAGATTTTCAGAGAACAGATATGTTAAATGCAGAAGGCTGTATTGAGCATGTGCAGTGTACAATTTTCAAGAGTAGCAGCAATTTCACAGGAAGAGAAAATGGAGACTCCTGAAAGAAAGGTTAATCTACTGTCAAATTTCAGTTCTCCTAAATATCTAGCACTATTTTTAAAGGGATGTCATTTTTCTCTCTATGCTTTTTCTCAGAATAAAGTAAGTTTTCATATATCAGAACGGTTTATAATTAATCTGCTTATCCACCAAAAAAACAATGATGGGCTTCAGCAAGCCTTCTCTGGTGCCTAACTTGGGTGTGACAAATCTTGGCACATGAGACTGGGGAAAATCCAATTTTGGTACCAATAGGGTAAAGCAATAATTTACTAGGGCCTTCATGTACTTCGGATACAGTCTGCCTAACTACCTCAGGGCAATAATGTGTCTTCCTCATAATCTGCTAGTTAAGACATCTGAGCAGAAACCAAAGGCCTAAGGTTATTCAGTTTGAGGAAAGCTGATGCCACATATAGTAAAAAGTGCTGGGCAGAAAGTCATAGAGGATGCTGTCTAGTAGAACTTTGCACTATCTTTTTGAAGCAATTAGAAATAAAAAAAAAAGCCTGATAAGGTACACCTTGGCTGGAAGAAAAGGTGAGTCTGAGAGGTGGAATGTTAACTTGAATTTTCTTAATACTCTCAACAAAAAGTATAAGGAGATCATTGTTTTCAAAAAGAACGTTTCAGATCCCTTTCAACACTTGCATAAGCTGTGATCAGGTGAAGCAATACATGACTGCTGCCGTTACTGCAGCTAGTGATGCCTTTCCTGCTGGCACTTAGTACATACACCTAAAATCCTCCATGAATTGTTGAACATTTCCATTTTATGCTGAACAGCTATAGCACAAACATTCAAATCTCGCTGAGCCAAACCGACATGTCTTTTTACCTTCTAGGCTATCTCTGGTCAGGGACCATCACTTACAGACCTCACCTTGTGGTACCCTAGCAAAGTTGAAAGAGCAGTGCAGGGCACTTTGGGGAAAAGATGATCCCGAGCTTAAAGCAGATCTCAAAGTATGCTTTGAAACCTAACAAAACACTAGAGATCAAGAGACTTTTCACACAGATAAAAGAAGGAGTTATTAAAGAGAATACCATACTGGTAGTCTGTGCATCATTTTTCACTATGAAGAGTAAACCTAATTACTTACCTAAAACATAAAAGCTCTTGCAAGACAACTCTTGAATGGTGTTTAGGGTCATTTATAAATAGAAGTATATCCTATAGCTGACGGAGTTTTGGTTAAATCTAGTGAATTTTTACTTGGAAGCTAATTAAAGGAAATCAGAGAATAGCTGTGCCATTAACTCAGCTACTATAATTAGTCACTAAGAATGAACTAGAGAAAACACCCAGTCATGTCAGGAGTAAGAGTATCAAAACAACTGCACCATACAAAGAGGGGTCTGAAGACCTCCTGTCCAAAAAGGTACTGAATGTACTTACCACAAGCCAATACCAGACTTTCTGGCACTGAACAAACAGCATCCCAACAATCAACTTCTTTCAACACTGTACGAACTGGTTGCTTAAGGAGCAGTACAAATTTCATTTTTATCTATATAGCCTTGACACCACAGAAAAGAGACTTTATACCAGCTTTTGGAAGTAGACAGTAAAGGTACTGACAGCTGCTTCTTCTTGAACATCAATGGAATGGTATTCAATCATGTAAAAAAACAAATTAACTAGACAAAAAGAGAATTTTCTTTTTATTTACATAGTAGATTTCTTGGGAGAACTGAAACAATGTTTTTAATTTTAAAATTTTGGGCCAAGACAAATCCCACAGCTGAAGGGGAGTTAACTGATAGAAGACTGCAAGTGAACCACAATTATCTCAGATAGTCAGTTTGAGACTGGATACTACTAGCAAGCTCTGGAACAGTCAGAATTCTGAAAAGAAACTGAAGTTCAGATGATTGCTCAGTCTCTTTCATTGCACTAGTATAAAGGCAAATGAGTTTTGATCCAGTTGGCCTCTAAAAATGAAGAATTTAACAGGTAAAATTTAGTTGCCTAAACTTCAGTGTCATGACATTTTAGGGACTTATTTTAGAGCGATTTGTAATTCCATTCAAGACACAGAATGTCCCACAGATCATCAGCACAGAAACTGTTTAGAAATCAATTTCTGCATATTTGTTCTCCATTTCCATGGGAAAGCTTTTAAAAGCGTGCTCTTCCATTTGATGTTATCTTAAAAAAACGTATCAACATGAACTTCAGTACACTGATAAAAGTTAGAATTTATAAACTAAAGGAAACAAAATGACTTAACCTGTATTTCATCCTGACTCAATAGTCATGTCAAAATGATATTTTTTGCCTGACCTTTCAAAAAAAATCTGAAACTAAATTTAACATCTGAGATCACATATCAGGCAGAACACTGGACAATATATCTTCTGTCTTTAAAAATCAGTAAAGTTGGTTATGATTCTCCATCTTATAAAATTACTTCGATGCTCTTTTAATTTCTAGCATGTAATACTAGGACAAGATCCCAATACATTCTTTTTAAATACTTGATATAACACTCCCTTTTCATGAAACAATATGTCTCTTTTAAAAAGAAGCTTTTACCATAAAGTTGATATATCAACACAACAAAGGAAAACTAAACAGAGCACTGTGTTAACTCAAAAAAATGCAATACATACCTTGTAGCTCCCAAACCTTCAGCGGTTCCATGTTGTCAGTAGTTCCAATTAGATGTTCTTTAAACTCTTTCAGATTATTTTTCAAATCAGGATGCATTTGTCTACAATAAAACATTTTTTTAACAAACAGCAAAATCAATGACATCCATCAATGTTTGCTTTTATCCACAGTATGTCTCACAGCTAATACTGTATCTTAAGGGTAACAAGCAAGAATTAAAATTAATTCATTCTTTAAAAAAAAAAGAGGATTTGAGGTGAGAAGAGGTGACTTCTGAGGACTAAAAACCTGTTGATTACAAGGAGTTCAATTGTTTTGTAGTGATCTGTCTCAAACACTGTCACATAAAGTTTGATGGAATAAATGAACTCAAAAGATTAAATAGCATTAACACACAATACAGGTAACTGTATAGTTAGTTTACTATAGCATAATGTATACCTAACTGTATATCACGCCACAGATTAACTGTAACTGTACACAGTTCATTGTAAGATATAGGCAAGCCAATGTTGAGAACATATTTTATAAATTAACAGCACTGATAAAATCAAGCTACTGAGCACACAAATCACTAGTCACATCTGCAGAAAAGCATGACGCCCAAAAGCTTGGCTATTTGTTTTAAAACATAATTGGGCAAAGAAGTCTTGAGCGCAAAAACTTCAGCCTGCTACAAGACACCCTCGAACATCAAACAATCTCCATTAAATTTCTAAAGGTTCTTCTGCTAGAAATATCGAACAAGAAGCAAAAAGCAGCTAAACCCCAGACATCTAAAGCACTAGACCTTTAAGTTCTGTAATATTTCATATTTTAGATATTAAGAAGTTTCACAAAGAATCCTTCTCTCCTTATTTTTTAGTTGTTGAACGATATTAGCTGTTATTCTCTACAGAAAAAGAAAAATTTCACTGAAGACAACTGTTGTTCTGGAACTAAAATATAATCCAGGTTCCTCAAAGAAAGAATACTCAGCTGAAAAGGGAACCAAAGACAGAAAATTCCTTTCTTCCTTACTTGTAACATAGACCTGGTTCAACTTCGAGAACCAAATGTAGAAGTTACAATTAATCAACTCACTTTAATTTGCCAAAGAGAAATCCTTGGACATCACCTTCCTCCTCCTCCTCCTCCTCTTCCTCTTCTTTGGTGTCATTTGCTCCTGAAAACATAGCACATGTAGACAATATATATCAAGAAAGTTACTGATGTGTTATGTTCTCAAGAATTATGAAGTGGTTAGAAGAAACATACAATGAAAAAGTTGTCGTTCCCAGATGTAATTTCAATTAGATTTATATTTATGCCATCAGATTTTGGCATCAGAATGAATCACTTCACAGAACTTAATAACATTTAAATATAATTCATTCAATGGTTACATTTTTTATATAAATAAAATTGATATGGCTAAATAGTTCACTTCCCAAAATAGCCATTTCTCAGTTTGATTAAATGGTAAGGTATAACTCTTACCAGCCAACTACTACCAAACTTATCCTTGAAAACCATGATGACTTTAAAGCGCCTGAATCTCCAGCTAGCATTTGATGTAACTCAGAGATCAGTTTCTTTTCCTTAAAAAAACTAAACCATTTTTGGAGTGGCTCAAAGGCTATTAAGCATTAGTCTTACCACAAGAGAGCTAAATAACTTCCTTTGTATCTTGTAAATCTCCACACAAAGCAACTTCTCTGTGTCAGAATGCTATAGCTACTACTTTCTGAGATACATGTCTCATTTCAACACGTAACATACACTGGCAACAAATTCTAAGATAGAGCATATCTTTACTACAGAAGATTGTGAAAGTATTTCCACATAAATTCGGAAAACACCTCAATCCTGAAACACTAATATGTAGATATTGTAGTAATTAGCATATTAGAGAGTCCAATAAGCAAAGTAATTGAAGAACAAAGGTTAAACAATCTTACACTTATTGAAAGGAAGAACGAGTTACATTTTGAAGAGCCACAGAATACAGAGGTTAAATATCCAACTATATCCTCAGCAGAGTTGTTTACAAATGCTCACGTATGTTTTGATATCTTAGTTCCTTACACCTGAGACTTTCTTCTGTAAAAAGAAATTAAGTAAAACCTTCAAAACATTACTGATTTTATAACTGAAGATTATAATACATTTCGGTAGTATCTCCATTAAAATATCATCAATAAAAACCCCCAACAACATACCTTTAACCTGTGTGTCATCTACTGCTTTGTATTCTGTGCTTTTTATCGCAAGTTCTACACCATATCCAGATAAATACATTTTTCTGGAACTTGGTTTCTGTTTGAGATATTATTTTAACAGAACACAAAATATAACTTAAAAAACTGTATTTACAGGAGATTAACAATATCTAATGCTATAACTTTAAAATGTTATTATAGTCATAACATAAATTCATCTTTCAATTTATGATTGAAAGTACAAAATACTACACCAAACAAATTATAAGTCATTAAGGCATATTGACAGCCCACATTGAGAAGGTGTGTAGCAAAACTAAGGACTTCCTTTATGTCCTGCAGACCACAAAGGCTGTGTCAAATTGTAGTCTTTTCACATAGCCTTAGGAGGAGAACTGGAACAGGCAGCGTTGGTAGCACCCTATACAATTACTGATACTTTACAATTCACATTTTAAACTGTTTTTAATTGCTTTGTAATTTTGCCAGACTTCAGCATGTTAGGAGAAAATTCTCTATTTCTGCATCAGGCTGATTATTTTGAAGAGTTTTGATGAAAGAGTTAATCAAGGGAAGCACAGTCTGAAGAGAGAAAAAGTGCAGGATGAAAAACAATAGGCATGAGGGACCATGGTGCATAAGCCGGTGGGAGCTACAGAAACTGTCGGTATTTAACTGAAATAAGAGTGCATAAAAGAACATAAAGTTCAGTAAAAACTATGCTGCACACAACTTAGAATTTAAGACTGGTTTCCTCAAATTCTCTATTTCATTACTGTGAGCAAACAGCTCAGTCATCTGCAAACTATGGATCTCATCTCCCTGAAATGCCCGGCATACACAAATCACAGTAACCTCTCACTCCATTAGATTATTCTGGTATTAGCCACACTGTAAGAGCTGTACTTTGAATATAAATTACAAAAACCTTCCAATAGCCAAAACTGGGGACAATATAGTTCCACGTGCTGGTATTTGTCTTGTTTTGTTGCAGGGAAGAAGTTAAGAAAAGCATTCAGAAACACTACGGTTAAAATACTGACATTGTGGAATGCAAGCATCAAAAAACTGGTCAATGATGTTGACTGTGATATCCCATGTCACTGTACTGCAATGAACACACAAGATTATACTGAGAATATAAAAAATTTTAAAGAATTATTTGGCAACATTTTTTCTATTCTACTTCCAGTTTTTCTAATCCTTGTTACTAATATGCTCAGTCTGCTGCACAAAGATTCACCCAAGATCTTTGTACAACACACAACCAAAAAAGAGATTTCGAGGTCAATCAGTGATGCAAACAGTGCTTGCATGCAGCATTAGATAATATTATCGTGCTTTCCCAGCTTCAAAGTTTGTATTAGGTGAATAATTTCACCTACAAAGTTTTAAAATTAGAACCTATATTGCACATGATTTAGGCTAATGCAAAAATAAACGTAGAAAATGTGTTTTGTCAAAAAGCAAGTAAAATAAAGACAGAATAGTAAAAGTTTACTAAATCAATGTTAATTTGAATTGCATACCTGAACATAATGCCGGAGGACATAAACAATTTCCTCCTTTTGCGCCTTCTCAGATAAAATCTTGTGGAATTTGACAAAGTCTTTTGTACCCATTTCTGCATAAAGAACAACCACTGGGACATCCTCTTTGAGAGTTGGGAATTTATGATCTCCCTTAAAAAGGTATGGCCTGGGTCTGGTTTTAAAAACAAATAATTGTGATATTATATATTCAGAAAAGAAATTGAAACAGTAGCAGTTTTTCAATTTTAAAATTAAAAAAACCTAATGGCTTATATGCTAGAAGTATACAAGCCATGTTAAAATTATCACAAGATAATCATGACGGTAGAACACCAAATCTGCAAATTAAAGTCTAAGAAACTGAAAAATCAGCATCAAGTATACATAATTTGAACATAATTTATCAAATCACAACACAAAGAGCAAATGAAAAGCATAGCACTTCGAGGTTTTATGCAACAATCAGTTAAAGCTTAAAGCTTTTAATTTACGTGATGCATTACATCTATTAGGGATGTACATAGCAATCAGTGATAAACAGACTAGCAGAGGGATATTCACTGAAGTTTGAGAACGCTGCTAACACATGTGGAAACTAACTGGGTGACACTTCTTTAACACCATCAAGCTCTGCTAATTTAGCTAACTTTGCAAATTTTGACTGCCTACCTACCCTCATTAAAAGCCATGATTTGAAAAGTTATGCTTTCTATGCCTGCAATGATTTTTTTAGATGACTGTAAAGCATCTCTTGAATAAAACCTGGGAAAGATGGAAAAGTAACAGAGGATACAATTGAGTAATATAGAGTAATATACTCAAAGTGCTAATTGTTGATGAACACACTTCTTTTTCAAAGTGGCCTTTGCATAGTCACGCTTGAAAGATCAGTACACTCCCTCCAAACCTCTCCAAGCCAAGTTCAGAAACTCTAATCCAACATGCACTACAGAAACATGTGTAGTAGATGCTCATTGAAAAGTCTTAGTGGAAAGGTGTGAGCAAAACTCCACATGCCACAGCCTCTGTGATGCAAAGCTTAGGAATATCTTCAATACAAAATCACAATAATTTACACTGCAAAGGACCTTTGGAGGTCATCTGCCCCAAATGTCATCAGAGGGACAAGGTGGACAAAGTAGGTGTCATCACGGAGGCTGCAACAACTCTTGAATGAGTAAGCTATGTCCAAGAATAGATCCAGATTTGCCCCAAAGAAAGCATACATATGAGATGTGATTTGTGCAACTTCATTCTTATATCCACACAGACAAGAACTGCCAGTCATTTACAGAGAGTTCAAAACCTTAATCAAGTGAGCTTCTCTTTTCTTAGTCACCTAGGTATAGCAGAAGAATGACTCCTGTTCTCAAAAGGTAGTGCTGCCATGTCTTTCGTGAACAGACAGTCTCAAAGGAAGCATTTTATACTATAATGAACATGCTTCACTAAAAAAAAATAAGTGCTGCAGTGAAGTAACACTGCATAGGGTCCTTGGATTGGAGAATTAAAGCGTTCAGCTCTTGTAAATCCAAGATGAGCCTCCATTCTCTGTTTCTCTTCAACACTGAATAGTAGTGAGAAGGAATTGATTCTCTTGCTCCTAGAGCTGAAAGCTAATTAATTTCCTGCCATAAGTGTCTTATGAGACTGCCTGAAAGGGAAGGAACAGCAGTTGGGCAGACAAAAAAAGGATAAAAAATACATGGATGTGGTGTTCAGCACTTGCTAACCAGTTACTAGGGTAGTACAGGCAACTATACGCTTGCCTAGATAGTTGCCAAGATGGGATGCAGAAGGAATGCGATGGACAGAAGACAGCAGACACACATACTGACAAACCTTCTAAGCCACTGATTGTTTTGAGCAAAACGTGACTCCTGTCGATGCTTCTGCTCTTGGCAGCGACAGCCCCAGAAATCTTAGTGTTGTGGTTTGGACAGTTCACAAGATAAGCAATCTCAACCATATAACCACTGAAGATCTTCCTTTGAAACATCCAGAGCCCTTGAGCATCCCATTGCACTTCCACACAAAATATTTCCACTGAGAGCCATGCAGTCCATTGCAACACAGCTTAAAGTGCAACAGTAGTTGCTGCATAAAGGACTGGATGAAGCAAAACCTTGATCTTGACATGCAGACTGTTCGGGCTCTCTTCAGTCCCAAATGCCTAGAGACTTCCTGGATCTCAGGTTGAGCTAATGGATGTGCACAAAATAACACTGCAGCCTCTTCTTTCTTTTCCAGTAAGACTTGAAACTATCATCTCTAAAACTAGAACATTTCTAGTGTCCTCATCCAATATGGGGAACTTTAGGACACAACGGAAAGCAAAGCTCAAGTTCAGCTTCAGTGGAAAAATCATGACAGAAGACAGAAAAAGAAAACGAAACCGAGGAAAATAGTTTGAAATAAAAAAGGAATCAATAAACCAAAAAGATCTCTTTTTATAAAAGCCACAAAGAATGACTGGTTTAGGGGAACCAACAGTGACACCGCACACTGTCCCATATATCATTTGTTCACCATGTTAAAAAAGACAGAACAGGAGCACAGCGCTATCCCTGTCACCCCAACTAAACATCTCCGGCACAAATGAAAAGCATCTACTCAGAGTAGTGGAAACAATTACCTGAAGGTGAATATGTTTTTCCCAAAGTCTAGCTCGAGGAACTCTAAATATTTGAATGATGCAACTATTTTTGGGGTGGGGAGAAGGACAGGAAATTTATCAAGATTTTGTCCCTGCTGCTCTGAAGGTTGTAATGTGACTGGTGCACACAAAACTATCCAAAACATGAGAACAATTTAATAGAAAGAGCTTCAGTTTTGTTGTGAGTTCATAAAGTTAATGATTTCTAGAAGTCTAACTCTTTCAATTCTGATTACTTCAAGACTCTATTGTGTAGTACCCTGATCTTCCATAATCTTGCAAATTTGGGGACAGTATCTCCAGAAAGGAAAACATGCTGAATCCAGTTAACTGCTTTAGAAAAGTATATTCAGACATTGTGACAAAACGTTAAGGTCTCATGATGCCTTAGTACATGACCAGAAGAATTCAACATCATTTTAAAAGCCAAAATACAGTACAAATGATTTATGTAAGAAATTAAGAGACATTTGTTAGGCAGAATGTAATAGTTTAAAAAATGGGAAATTGCAAACTAGACAGTGAAGAGTTTTTGCGAAAATCTTGGCTATTGAGTAAGTAAAAGACAATGATTTAGTTGGTTGTATTAATGGACTTAGAAAATACCATAAATCACAGATGTAGAACACAAAATTGTTTTCAGAAACAAGCATCCCCGAAGAGATTAATTTATATGTTTTCAGAGTTTTTTTCCAATTTATATTTGATAGAAAGCAAAATCCAAGAAACATGCCCTACTAAATCACCTTTCAGCTCTACATATTTCCATGAAGTGGTTGAGAGCATGGACCTTAAATTATATTAGGGTGACCTTGACCATTGCAGGAAAACAAACAAACAAATGTTACATACAGGTCTTGAAAAAATACAAATAAATTAGAGAGTAAACATTTTGCTTTCATTATTTTGTTATCATTTGTTATTTTGACAGGTTCTATGTATTTTACTGCATGGCCTAAATTTGTTTCGGACTGCTGCCAGCTTCCACAGGACAAAGCCTGCAGAAAGGCTTGATAGGTGAGGAAAGGTTATGTCAGCTGAGGTAGACTCCTCTTCTACTCCTGTGCCAAGCCCTTACAATTCAGAAAACCTCAAACGCGGAGGCACTGACTATGTAAGAAAGGCCTGTCAGCAGAAGTACTGTCTCAGATGCATTAAATGTTACGTTTGTATAGAAAGTACACTGTAACTTAAATTTGACTATCCCATACCAAAAAAGGAAAAAAATACAAAATTATCCATGTGATTAGAGGAGCAAAGCTCTATGATTTTATTTTAAAACCCTGCTTTGATTCATTATTCATGAATTCTCACAACAGTAAGTGTTTAAAATATTTCAAACCCCAAAGTTACTCTTTTAAAATAACATTGTTTAAATGAGTATGTCTTCAAATACAAGTAAATAGAGATTTATAGGCTTGGCATTATCAAGTAAGTAGAACATGAAATTTCAAAATGCTACAAGTATATATGCAATAAATGCATTTTCCTCTTCAGTAATCTATTTTTCCTCTTAAAACAGATCATCACTTTTACCTCTTAGTAGCCTTCTTCAGAAGCTTTTTTATTTCATTAGTCTTACAGGTGTGCTTCCCATGGATAACCACAAATGCACTGCAGCCTGCTGGTGGAGGTTCATCAGCTGCAATCTAATATTTCAACAATTATACTCAACCAGAATGCTTTGATTGCACTTCAACTTAAACTCACATCTCTTTGATTAAAATAACTCAACAGCTGTCATTGAGTTGTGTTTCTAATTAAGACCATTCAAAATTGGGTACATGTGAAAAAAGTAATGGGAAATATAAGGAGATTAAGACCTTATAACCTTTGTGAGATGCAGTCTATCAAACGCAGCCATACTCCAGAAAATCAAGTCCATTTATGTTCTGTAAAGTCAGGGCTGAGAAATCTCAGCTGAAGTCACAGCCTGTACTCTTGAGATATTTTTAATTTTAGTTGCTATCAGCAATCATGTAAATGTACAAAGATTTGACTGCTAACCAATAAATCTCAAACAATTAATGTCAATTTTTGGTTCTCTCTCCTTCCCACCCCTCCACCCTTTTTTTTTTTAAACTCTATTCGGCTATTCCCATATAAAGTGGGAATCATATGACTGCATGTCAGTAACTCTGGATTCACAAGCTGAAGATAAAAATGAAAAAATACGAGTCTGAGATGATGATATTCCTCCAGAGAACACTTGCAAAAACCCCTAACTTTATTACAGCTTATTACCTTTCAGAAACATGGATTTCTCACTTCATCTTGAAGGTGGCATTGCTAAAAGCAGGAGGAGCAATTTTAGGCTAGAAGCACAGTGAATTTATGTTCTCCCACTTTTTCATTAACAAATCAGGTATTTGACTATTGTATCTTTCAACTTTTCAAATACTGAAATAATGAGAGAGATGAGAAGTCCACTAAATAAAAAATATTAATGACTTGAAACTACAGGAAATTTCCTGCTTTGTGAATGTCTGAATTCCCATAGGATTATTTAAAGCAATGCAAAAAAAACACCCCATAACCTGAGTTTTAAAAATGAACAATTCCAAAAATTCTGACCTGAAAATAATGCTATCCATACAATTAAACATGAATATTTGTTCCTGTCAATATAACCAGCTCATAAAGCATCATCTTCATAAATGGGTCATGTTTGATACCAAATAATGTCAGCTTATGTTTTACTGAACTGTAATAACGAACATTCTTTACTGTGCAGCCAAAATACCATGTAAAATCATGTACCAAATATATCAGACAATAGTCACCTGCTGAAACATCTGAACAGTTGGAGAATATGCCCGTATGGAAAGTGCAAACTTCAGGAGATTGATTTGCAAATTGGATAAAAATTGTCCTGCTTTCTTCAAGATTAAATTGTAATAGGAATGCTCTGAATCTGTTGAAGAAAAAAAAGACAAACTTTTAGTATTTAGCCATAAAGGATGTGACATATCTACATAATAAGCAAATACTATGTTAGTGCTGTCTGACAGTTCCAAAGTCTTGAATGTTGTCCACTGATAATCGTTTTCTTTACTACCGATTCTAAAGGCCTAATGCAACTTAAATACAACAAAAGTGAGTCCAATAGCACAAGTTAGCATCTAAATAATTTTCAGCGATATAAAAATCCACTCTAGACAATAATGTCTCTCTGCAGACTCATAGGGCAAGTCTTGAATAGAGCTTATTCATTTATTTCTATTTGTCAAGCCTATGCTAGCCTTTTAACTTAAATTTTGAACATTACCTACTTTGAACCAGCATTATTTTACATATTATTTCCTCACATTTAGTCCTGGAACACTCCAACCATGCAACTAACATAAATAACAATCTTCTAAACGTGACATTCTTTGGAATACTCTAACATGTCCAGTTTCTTCCTTGAAGATACACGATAAAAGTATGAGAATGGATGCAACATGTGAAGTGGCTTCCACCCTCTCTGCATATCTTGCCTTCTCAAGGCCAAAATTAGGACTCCGAGTAATAGGGAAGGTGGACAGTGTCTGGCAATGACAGAATGGATAATAAAGAACATAGGTTGGAAACAATTAACATTCTTTTCTTGTTCTAGAGGCATATTCAAGTGAATATTCTCTTTCCGTTCTTGGACTGTGAGGCAAAGAAGTCTAATTAGAAAGAGGTTGTAATACTGTTTTATCAAGTTGTGAAAATGACCTGTATCTGTTTAAGGAATAATGCTCACCAAAATTTTAAATCAGGCTGTGTGCATTGCACTATATGATATTCTTGAACACAAACAAACTAGAGTTAGAGAACCAAAGCTGTGACCATACCTAGCATTGTACACCATCCCTGTTCCAGCAGTTGCTCTTCCACAGGAGGAACAGCTGAAACATACGTGAAGCAGTCTAGAATTGCCAATTTATGCCCCCCGCCCCCCGCCAAAAAAAAAATCTATGTAGTCATCATGTATTTTACTTACATTGACAGATGTAAACTGCAGTGATTCAAGATTTTTTTCACATGTACTTGAAACATTGTACTAGAAAGGTGAAAATTTGCAGCAAAGGCAAAGTGAGTTGTGGGAAGGAACCATTCTAGCTGCCCGGCTTGAAATTATTTGTGTTCTTAGGTCAACACCTTATTTTAAAGGTGCTCTTGCTGTGAAAGTGAAATGATCGTCCCAGTAGGAAACCCCTTCAGGAGTCCAAAATGGCACCAAATTTTTACACAGTGTGAAAATCATCTCACATGATTTAACCTGCCAGATATTACCTGCCTTAGCTGCCGCACATCTCCAAAGTACTCATAGCAAGTGATGAGAGCAGCAATCAAAATGCCAATCCTTCACCACAGCCTAGGTTCCAGCAAAACACTTGAACACATACAACAGCCCTGCAGGCCATAGTTTTGGAAATAACTAACTGCTAAACTATTAAATAAGTAACTAACTACTCCCAGCAGTTCTGTACACAATTTTCATAACTAAGCACTTCCTATCCTCTCACTTTCCTCTTTACAACCCCTAAACTTCTTCTGTTCTTAAAGCCCCTAGGATCTCCTTACTGCCTTTTCCTCCTTCTTAAAACTTATTATTCAGAAAGGCTGAGTTTGCCGTAATTCACTAAGAAAAAAAAATAATCTAAGATTACTAAAGGGTATGATTTGCATTTCTAGAAAGCTGCCTTCCCATAAATTCTATAGGATCATTACTGGTCTAACAGTAAATCCAAAGGATTAAAAAAATATCTCTTACATGTTTTCTAAACCTACACACATCCCTGGCAGAACTCAAATGAGATAAATTTGACTTCACATGTTCCAAGCAGCGAATGTAAAAAATCCAGAAGTGGCCAATACTTCCAGATTGAAACATCTTTCCAGAACTATACTTTCAAATTTTCTTCAAATTATCTCCACAAAACCAAAAATTCAATCTGAAATTTCTGCCTCTCCACTCAGCCCCAAATAACATCCCATCGAACACAATGAAGAGTTATTAAATATACAATTCTAAAGATACTACCTCAATAAAACATTTTTACCACAAGTCTTTAAATTATTTCACTTGAAAATTCCAGCTGTGCTTTCACTGCTGTATATAAAACAGCTGACATTTTTGCTCTGGAAGATGATTAAGACAATGACGATTTTCATTAGTGAAGTGAGGAAAAAAAAGGATAATTTATCATGGGCCTTCAAAAATGATTGTATAACATATCGACAAGGTTACATTTATCAAATCTTGCATCCACTCCTACTACTTCAACTTATATTAACACTGCTGGCTTCATTCAGACTACAACTGTACTTTAAACTTCAGCCAGGTAAATTAATCCACATCAAACGCTATACGATCCACCTGATGCAAAAACATTTTTTTAAAGTTTATTACATACAGAACTATGGTTTCAGTTTTGCAAATTCTTTTCACATACTATTTGCTCCTTGAAACTTGGTAACTACTTGCCCTCCAGGCACGTTTTAACACTGCACTCTACGCCAAAGAGCAGAAGTCATAATAAATTTCTTAGGATGTTACAGGGAACCATGGAGAAACAGATGTTTCTTATCATAAAACGCTGCACGATAGCATAATACCACTAAATTCATTAACAAAGTTGATTTAAAAGTAAATGAATGAGACAACATTAATAGCATATTGCTTGAGATCTCAGACATCTGAACACACGTGTATGAGCTACATATCTGTAAACTTCCGTTGTAGCAAAGAGAGCGCGCCTGGCAGCCAGCAAAACCTGAAAAGCTATTTAGCTCACTCTAAAGATGCCTAAATTTGTCAGCTGAACAGCTCTCAGCTCCCGTAGACAAACTGATTAGATTGACTACGACAAGAACTGAACAGCCAGCTAAGCAGACTCGTATTTAAACATCGACATTTACTATCCATAACCTACAGCAGTATCTCACATCACAGGTAGATGAAAAATAATTAAAGGGGGATGACAAGAATGGTCACGAAAAGAAAGGAAAAGTCTGTATCACAGCTCCTCAGATCCCATGCACACACAGCACAAAATTAATCTGAATATACACTGGTGGCCCGCAGGAGAATTCAAAGTACTCAGGCACAGAAGGCAGGGAGAATAAACATAAGGGACATAATTAATCAGAAGAGCACAGGGTGCTGGGATCATTTATTTTGAGGGATGGAAGTATGGGGATTGTTCCAACCGCATAGATGTCTGTATCTATAGATAAGCTACAGAATTAGAGATCCCAGGAAACAGCAGTCCAAGCAATCACTGGTCAGTCAAATCCCTATGACTTTCAAGCAAGATGCTAGTAGAGAGGGAATATTTTATTTTATTGCATGATTATTATAGAAGTGCCATGCTTGCAAAACTGCTTCCTCTTGAATCTTTAAGGTTAATACGTATGTAAAAAATACTTAGCTAATTTAGTTGTGAATAATGTATAGTCTTCTAGATTACAACAAATAATTTCCATGATTGCTGTTTATATGTAATATACTGTTATATTTTTTTCAGAGAAAATAGTTTCCCTATTAATATGTTTGTGCATTTGGGTTTTTTTTATTAAATATTTATTTAAGAGAATGCTGAAAATTCAATATATAAACTGAACCACTTGGGAAGACAGTAAACGCCCAGGTTATAATTAGTCAGCAGGGAACTGGCCACTTACCTTCATTGTGTTCGTAACTAAACCTTTTGAGATATAAAAGCAGCAGCAAGTTTAAATGCAATCTTCAGTGTTTTGTAAATGTGCTGGTTTTAATACGAAATTTTGCAACTTTGATTTCTTTAACATACATGCATTCCAGAATAGCATCATCTGCGTTTCCCAACCTTCCACGAGCCCAGGAGCAAGTATATAGCATATTAAGTAGACATACACAATGTTGTCCATGCTACCTGAAGACCTCAGTCTAATTCAATATAGCGTATCCCATCATTAACTTTTTGATGGTTTTCATAGGTATAATCTCAATGATGCCCAAGTTGATTTGAGTTCGTATTAAAGAAAAAGTTAAAACAATGAAACACATCAGACTACTTTACCAAATTCCACACACATTGTTCCTACCAAATCCATTAAATTGCTACATACATCATAAACAGACCATTACTAGACCTAATTTGCTAAGACTCAATATTTTAAATGAGCAAGTTAACAACAGATGTTTATTTGATTATTCTAAATTTAAAATAGTAAGTTTTGAGAATTGATAAGCAACGAATGAGGAATCATCCAAGGGATGACTGAAAAGAAAAATAAGCCACCATACTTGATTTTTTAAGTTGCCTTTTAGGTTTAATACTTCACGACTCTTCCGAAATACTCAACAGGTTGAGATACAAATTTATTATCTGATTCCCAGAAAAATCCAGTTTTTCAGCTTCAAGTCTATTAATTCTTTACCTTCTATGAAAATGTTTCCATTTAAAACCCACAATGCTTTTATTTCCCAGTTATCCATCCTATCTACTCTTGATATCATCCAGAGCAGAACTGAAGAGTCAATCACCCCAATCAATCTTTTTTAAGGCAGATCCTTTAATTTGCTCAAGCAGTTATTGTTACTTCAGTCTTAATGCATCATTGTCCTGGTTTTGGCTGGGGAAGAGTTAATTTTCTTCCTAGTAGTAAGTATAGTGCTGTGTTTTGGATTTAGTATGAGAATAATGTTGGTAGCACATTGATGTTTCAGTTGTTGCTACGTACAGGTTATACTGAATCAAGGACTTTCCAGCTTCCCATGCTCTGCCAGTAAGGAAGTGCACAAGCATCTGGGAGGGAGCGCAGCCAGGACAGCTGTCCCAAACTGGCCAAAGGGGTATTCCATACCATATCGCATCATGCTTAGTATATAAACTGGGGGAAGTTAGCTGGGGGGCCATTGCTCAGGAACTTGGTCAGTGGGTGGTGAGCAATTGCATTATGCTTCACTTGTTTTGTATATTCTATTATTATTACCATTGTTGTTATTTTTCCTTTCCTTTTCTGTCCTATTAAACTGTCTTAATGTCAGCCCACAAATTTTACTTTTTTTTTCATCCAATTCTCTCTCCCATCCCACTGGGGGCAGGAAGAGTGAGCAGACAGCTGTGTGGCCTTTAGCTACCTGTCAGGTTAAACCACAATAATCATGAACATCCCTCTACATCAACATACCTTGACATGCCCATTCCACACCATCCAGAGAGCCACCTTCTCCTCAGAAGTATCCTATTACACAGCTCTCAGTAACTGCGCCACTCCATCCTTTCTGTATCAGTATTCTTCACTCTAGCTGATGTAGATGTAGACATCTACTCTATTGTAGATGTCTAAGGCAGACTTTCCTACTGAAAGTAGCTTAACTATTGCTGGATATATATGGATACTCATAGTATTTCTATCTCACACTTAGTATGCTGACTTCAGTGCAACACTCTTAAGTTGGAAGAATCAATAAAGATGTGATTTTGTCATAAAATAATCACTTTCTTTTCCTCTAAAACTGAATCTTTCCTTCTCAGCCTGTTCATAAAGAGCTTTGGTTTGTTTGTATACTACTACCCTAACTATGAACTGACTTTTAGGAGAACCACTAGGTGCCAGAAGAACTTTAAGTTTTCCTGCATTATAAACATAGAAGTTTGTTGGCCATAATGATAAATATACACATCAATTGCTCAATTGCCATGGTTTAGCCCAGTCAGCAACTAAATGCCACACAACTGCTTGCTCACCCTCCCTCACCCCTGATGAATGGGGAAGAGAATTAAAGGGGAAAAGGGAAGGAGACCTGTGGGTTGATATAATAAAATTAATAATAATAATAATAATAATAACAACAACAACGGATAGATATAGATATACAATGTATACAAACAAGTGATGCCCAGTGTAATTGCTTACCACTCAGTGACCAACACCTGTCCTGTCCCGGAAAATAATCCTGAAATAGGTAAGTCACAACACTGCAATCGCAGACAAGCGAGAGGCCCAAAAAGAGAATGAGAGACAGACAGCACTCTAAGAGACTGAGCATCCCCAGAAGAGCAAGAGCTTCCTCCTGATCAACCCTCATCTATATACCAGGCATGATGTTGCATTATATGGAATATTTCATTGGCCAATTGGCCCTCAATTCTAAGTGTAAGTTCAAATCGTAAGAGGAGTTGTGAGCCCTTTGTCCTGGCCATGGTCCCCCTCAGCCTGTTGTGCTCCTGCACACTGGCAAAACATGGGAAGCTGAAAGGTCTTGATGGCTCAGTATCAACCATGAACATCAGTATGCTATCAATATTCTTCTCATAATGAATCCCAGGCTAAAACCATAACACAGAGCTCTTCTAGCTGCTAAAAAGAGAAAATAACTTTGTCTCTGTCAAAACCAGGACTTTAATACGCTTAAAGTAACATTTTAGTACATTCTCAAGGCTCCCCACTACCAGCATCTAATGTTTCATTGGCAAGATAGGCCATGCAGATCATCCTATTGGTGGCAATTTATTTATTCTCAATCACGCAGAGTTTAACCAGGTGAAGTAGACAAAGTATGTAGCTAACAGCTAATTTCAACAGACATCTGTGACACTAATAATAAATGTCACTAAAGCTTCAAATTCCTTAGAAAGCTGGTTCAAGCAAGCAGACAAGACCCAGCTGATAAAAAAAATGACATTTTATCTAATACATCAGTCTTGTCTCAAGGCAGTATCAGCTGCATCTAAACAACTCCTTGAAAAAAAAAAATTCAAGGTAGAAGTGATTTCTGGAGGTCACCTCATTCAAACTTTTACTTAGAGGAGATGTAATTCCAACAGGCTGCTCAGGGCCTCATGCAGCAGAGTTTTGACTATCTCCAAGAATGGAGATTCCACATCCTCCTGAAGCAGCCTGTTCCAGTGTCTACCCAACCCCATGGCAGAAACATTTTTCCCTAGTACCCAACTAAAATTTCCACGTTTCAACTTGTGCCCATTGCTTTTCTTTTTTTTTTTTTTTTAATATTACTGTCTACCTTCAGGAAGAGTCTGGTTCTGTCTTCTCTATAACTTTCTATTAGGAAGTTGAAGATACAAAGACTCTTCCTCAGGTTGAATAAAACCCAATTCTCTCAGACTTTCCTCAGAAGCCTGCTCCAGTTCCCTAACCATTTTGGTGATCCTCTCCTAGACTTCCTCCAGTATGTCTTGTCTTTTAACGAGGAGCCTCAACCTGGGCCTAGTACTCCAGACGTGGTCTACAAGTGCCACACACAACGAAATAATCACTTTTCTTGACCTGCTGGCTACACTCGTGCTGATGCAGCCTAGCATGTAGCTGGCTTTCTCAGGCATAAGAATTTAATGCAACTCCCTGTTGACGAGAATCCCCTGGTCTGCTTCTCGAAAACCACTTTCTAGTCAGTCAGTGCCCAGGTTGTACTGGTGCTGAGATTATTCCAACCCATGTGCAGGAGTCTGTAAAGCACTTTAGCTGAACTTCCCAGGCCTGTCTCTCCAGCCTGCCAAGGCCCCACTAATGGCAGCCCTAGCCTCCAGCTCCTCAACTTCTCTCAGTTTTGTCATTCACAACCTTGTGGAGGCTGTAACCCATGCCACTGTCCTATGCACTGACAAAGACCTTAAAACAGCATTAGTCAGAAGTCAAATTCTGCACCTACTTCCACATCCACACGCCCTTACACAGAAAGGCTCTGAGCAGCATTCATGACCTAGGCCGACTGTTCTCAGTCATTCTCTCTGGTTTTGTTTATACTTCTGACCTCAGACCATTCCCATTTTCATCATTTCACAGTAATTTTTTTTTTTTTACCTCTTCAGTTGATATTCCATAACTATAATCACAGTTCCTTGTACACCTTCTGCTTCTACTATATCCTGCCCAAAGAAATGAAGAGGAAAATACTGGGATACAGTAAAGTAGAACATCATGTTTTTACTCAACACAAAAGGGCATCATGGAATCATAAGCAGTAAAATGTTGTTTACCATGCAGGTCCTTGTTCCTTTCCTAGTGATTTGTTAAGTCTATTAGTGGCTTTCGGCATTGCTGAACACTCCAATAACATTCTCACTGACCTATCCACACGGACACCACAATCTTTTTGACTTGCATTTAGTCAGTCATCATCGTTGAAGTGTGTGGTTTCTCAAGTTCTCCCTCCCATACGCAGCATTTTTCACATAACAAGGACTCATTCCTGTCATCTTACTGCCATTTCTTGCATGATCTTTCTAAAACTTGTTAGCTTTTGCCTATTAAACTAACATTAAATTTACCCGAAGTCTCTTCTAGTAGTAGTGTTACGTCCTCATACTCATGCCTAAAGAACTGTACTATTCTGAAGTAAAGAGCAACACGAAACAGCTCTACCTCGTTTTGAATCTTTTTTCATCTTGTTTATCTATTGACCTACCAAGTAGGTCTAATATTGACCAACCTGTTGTACAGCCTGTAAAGTTTCCAAATTTTTCATTACCATGCTCTCCAAGGTGTTTTCTGGGTGGCTCGCTTATATGCTTTGTTTGCTGGATTTTATGCTTTGTTCTTCGCTCTGAACTTCTAACAACTTAACGTTCTTTTGTCTAATCATGCAAGTTTTTTTTAATCCTATTTTGACAGTGATAAACTTTTATTCTAAAACACCAGTGTTGCTCCTGGAAAATAGTCTCTATGCCATCTACAACTATTAAACCTTTTTTGGTCATTCCTCTCATGTTTTTCCCTTTAGCTAGCACTCTCATTTCAGTTATTTGTGGGATTCTCTCCTCCTACAAACATCCATCTTACACAAAACATGAAGGCTGAATATGCTATAAGCTCCTGCAGAGTCACGTAAGAAAGCAGGTATCTTTAATCTTTACGCTTCTGTTCCATATCGTAACAGCAGCTCAGTCCATCCCATCCTCCTTGCTTTTAGAACTCCTCTATAGGTGGAAGCCCAAAGGGAAAAAAAATCACAGAATCACAGAATGTTAGGAATTGGAAGGGACCTCAAAGGATCATCTAGTCCAATCCCCTGCCAGAGCAGGACCACCTAGATCAGATCACACAAGAACGCGTCCAGGCGGGTTTTGAACATCTCCATAGAAGGAGATTCCACAACCTCTCTGGGCAGCCTGCAGGATGACCATGAGCCAGCAATGTGCCCTTGAGGCCAAGAAGGCCAATAGCATCCTGGGGGGTATTAGAAGGGGTGTGGTTAGTAGGTTGAGAGAGGTTCTTCTCCCCCTCTACTCTGCCCTGGTGAGGCCGCATCTGGGAAAAAATGCTACAACTTTCTGAAAGAAAACTACCCAGTAAGCAGTAGTGGAAGAATTAGGCTTTACCTGACTGCATATAGTTAATTTGTTAGCTTGATGTTTAGAAGCTAAATACAGTGCAAGATACTACATTAAAACGAGCATGCGGTTTAACTTACCTCCTTGCTTGTAGACTGTTAATTCTCGTACCGTTTCCAAGAACTGCCAAAACTTCTCATTACCATCTTCTGCAATAAATTCACTGTTTAAAAATAAAAATTATTTGTCCATAGGTTGACTTTGTCCAAAGATGCACCACAGTAAAAATCTTCAGTTGTGTAAAATAACAAAATATCCAGCAAAAACAAATTATTAAGTACACAATGACCATCTAACATCTCTGTAGCATAAAATGCTGAACAGTGGTATCGTTTGGATTAAAAAAAAAATTGAACAAAATAATACTACCAATCTGAGCACAATAATCAGAGCCGTAAAGCAAACAGACTATTCTCTGATACAGAAATAAACACAATTTTCCACTTTTTTTTTTCATACACTCTGTCAGGTTACAGTTTTTAATTAAAATATAGGCTTTGATTGATGACAATGTCTACTTTGCTATGCAGGGGAGGTCTCCAATCTCTGGAACACTTTCAAAGATGCATTAATCCTTACAAAGCATAAAAGATAAGTTTTGCTTTATTCCAAATACCATTCTTCCATTTACTGGTAACACTTTGTAGTTTTGTCATTTTTTCTTAAGGGAACATCAGTTGCTTTTCCAGCCCCTCCCTTATGTCTGCCAAAAAGATCTACTTGCTAGCATAAGTGCATTGGTTTTTAATCTTTACTTGGGAAGTTTGCCACTGCTTTGATTACAGAAGCTTGCAATTCTCCCTTTCACAGGAGCTCTCCAAACAGCTACAAATAAGTTTAAAAACAAAGCAAACAAAAAAGATTTTAAACCAAACTGGCAGGGGAGCCACAAACACGTTACACTGGAAAGCATCTTCACTTCCTATTTTAAAGTTACGACTACAAGTTAACAACACCTTTTTTAAAAAGACATGTTTTACTACCGTAGCTTCACATCGTCACTAATACCTTTATACAGAATTATTTAATTCACGAGTGAAAGTAAACTAATTAGGGTGAGAGGAAGAGACACTGTTACTCAGTAGTAGGCAGGGATTGTGCCGATTGACTCTTTGCATCTCAATGAAATGAGGAGGTTAAAGGCAAACCAGTTCGAATAGCACGCGTAAAACGCGGGAAAGCCTGTCAGCCCTATCCGTAACATTTTACGACGGGAGAAAGCAGTTAAGCCTTATACCCAAGGAGTGCTTTAATATCCTCCCGAAGAGAGGAAGCGAGAAGCGCAGCCACCCCTTTCTGACAGCCCACCTTCCCTCTCGGGCCGCACGGCGGAGAGAAGAAAGGAGCCCTTCCCTCCGCCTGGCCCCTCGGGAGACAGCCCGGGGAGGCACCG